GATCATTAAGTGATCCACTACCTCTAAAAGTTTTATTCTGCGCCCTTGTTCGCTCAAACCTAGAATACTGTCCATTAATTTGGACTAATAACACTTTTAAACAGATTGATGCGATCGAATTAGTTCAAAATAGCTTCCTCCGTTTCATCTCCTTCAAGTTTAGTATCTATAGACCACCTCATGGTTCCTATGATTCAGTTTTATCATTTATCAATCTCCTCCCTCTCAAAACTAGACGCACTTTACTACTATCAAAATTTTTATACAATTTACTCTTAGGGAATATTGATTGTGATGAGCTCCTTTCCCTTATCCGTTTTAAAGTAAATCACAGTAACACAAGATGCAATGATTTATTCCATACCGTTTCATATAAAACAAATTATATGATGAACTGTCCTTCTAATATCCTAATGGCTGCGGGTAATTCCATTACCTTTGATTTTGTTTAGCATGTCTCGCCCTATTTCTTTCTTTGTTGTTATTTATTCTTTTAATACTCTTGTCTATATTTGTAAATTATAACTATATAATGTATTATTATTACCATGTATACACACAAATAATTGTTAAGGACTCACGTCCGTTTATAAAAATAAATAAATAAATAAAATTATTTAAATCGGTCAACAATAAAAACAAGTGTTCATTTTTATCATGTTTTTCATAATATTCATAGAGGGGCACCTAACTAAATTTGGAACAACAAAAGGGCACCGCTGACTAAAAAGGTTGGGAACCGCTGTCCTAGACGGTTCGGTGAATGCAAATCTATCTATACTATATATAAAATTGTAAGGGTTTTTCTTCGACCGCGCTAACCGAGAAAACTACTGAACCGATTTGGCTGAAATTTTTTTTGGCTGAAACCCGACACTGCTGAAGGTTTTAGTACCACTTTTGTCAGTAAAAAAGTTCATAAAAGTTCATAAAAAATTAAAAACAATTGTACCTATATTGTGCGTGTACCTATATTATCAATCCGAGATTGATTATTTAAATATTAAAGCGCTTCAAATTGGACGAATGACTATATTATGTCCTAAGTGCCATGCAAAAAAAATGGAAAAATGAAACCCATGGACTTTGCTGCGCTGACGGTAAAGTTGTTTTACACCAATTTGAGGATCTTCCAGACCTAATTAAAAGTTTAATTGATAATTCTCACTCTCTATCAAAACATTTCTTTGATAATTCTAGACGGTATAATACTCTGTTTCAAATGACATCGTTTGGAGCAAACGAAATAGCTGAAGGGAACTTCATGCTCTCTTTTCAAATTCAGGGTCAAGTGCATCATTTAATAGGTAGTTTATTACCCGAAATTGGAAATAATGCTAAATTTTGACAAATAAATTTTATGTCAGAGTCGGATCAAATATTTATTCGAACAAATATAATCCCAAATTTAAAAAGAGGTCTCATTGAATCATTGCAAACAGTTTTGCGTGAAAATAATCACCTCATACAGAGCTTCAGATCTAATCTGGAGTCGAGGTCTTTTGATGAGTTGCAAAACTTTAAGTTAATTATTCATGCTGACAGAGTTCCTCAAGATGAACACAGAGGTCAATATAATGCACCTACCATCGATGAAGTAGCTGTATTATTAGTTAATAAAGATAAAGGTCCCAGTGATATAGTTCTGCACGGTCGGAGTGGACACTTGAGTCGAGTTTCCGAATTGAATAGATCGTATGATGCACTGCAATATCTATTGATGCATACTAGAGGCGAAGACGGTTATCACATTAATATTTTACAGAAAAATAACCAAAATCGAACAAAAAACTGTCTCCTGCATGCAATTTTATTCTTATAGGTTTATGGTTAGAGAAACAAGTCTAAATCATCTACATTATTACAAAACATTATTCAGCCAATTCGCCGTAGATATGATGGCAAAAATGATTTCTGAAAGATGTAATAATAAGTTTATGGGTGGCATAACATTTGTTTTCGCTAGTGATTTCTGTCAAACTTTACCAGTAATCCCTAAAGGTACTCGAGCTGATGTCGTTAATGCTTGCTTAAAATCTTCCCCTATATGGAACTATGTTGAAAAACTTTATTTGCGAACAAACATGAGAGTTTATTTATGCGGAGGGGACGATATTTTTCCAGCAGTTGTTGAAAATTGGAAATGGAACTTTAGAAAATGAAAATGGTTACATTTCTGTCAATCACACGATTGGACGGGTGGTCAATAACGTGGAAGAGTTGATTTCTACAGTTTATCCTGACATTTTTAGTCTGTCCAATAAATCTTATCAGTGGTTATGTGAAAGAGCTATTATCTCTCCGAGAAATGTAACAGCAGGAGAAATTAATGATATCATCCTTCTAAAATTCGATGGACACTCACGTGAATATCTATCTATTGATACAGTTACATCAACAGATGATGCTATTCATTATCCACAAGAATTTCTCAATTCTCTTTCTCCTTCGGGATTACCTACTCATAAGCTAAAATTAAAAATTGGTGCTCCAATTACATTATTACGTAATCTTCAACCACCGAACTTATGTAGCGGTACAAGATTACATATAAAATCGTTCCGAAATAATATTATAGAAGCCGTAATTCTTACAGGGCCAGCGAAAGGAGAAATTGCATTTATTCCAAGAATTCCCATGATTCCCTCTGACTTGCCGTTATCTTTCAAACTGCTTCAATTCCCGGTTAAAGTTTCTTTTGACATTACCATAAACAAAGCGCAAGGTCAAACATTCAAGTACGTTGGCGTAGATCTTCGAACAGAGTGCTTTTCACATGGGCAATTATACGTGGCATTTTCTCGAACTGGGGACCCGAATCATCTTATGATTTTAATTTCAACAGGAAATATAACAAAAAACATCATATACTCAGAAGTCTTATAAAATTCTTATTTTAATTCTTTTTTTCTTTATCAACTTCAATCAAATTCTTTATCAACCATAAATTATTTCTTTTTTATCTGTATTTATTTTTATCATTTATAATGCTAGAAAAATTTCAATCCATTTTTATTAACCGTTTTTTTATATTTAACTGCCGATCACATTAAACAATAATATTTGAATAAAAAATTCTACATATCATGGTCCGAAGGCAAAATAAACAACCAATCACGGGCGAAGCTGTGACAGATCGGCTAGTAAATTATATTTTATCATACTATTTTTATATTAGGTATAATATAATATCATAAGGTCCTATTATTCCAAACCGATATTACTGCTCACACGTAAGCAGGTGGTATTAAGCTAGCACACTGCGTAATACCATTGATTGTAAATACTAGTATTTATAATCAATGGTAATACATGTAATAAAAACACGAAAATTTTATCAAAATAAAATTTAAACTTAAATTATTTTGAACTTGGCCTGAAATAAAAGGCCCCTTCGGGGCCTTCAATATTTTAGGGCCTGGAGCCCGGGCTCCCAGGCTCCGTGCTTAATCCGGTTCTGCGTGCCTCTAGCGATTATCGGACCATGGATTTTTGTTGAATTGGTAAATCCATATAAATTATCTACAAAATAAGATTATATTTAACATTTTTATTATGCCTATAATGACCATAATAGTATGATGAACAAAGTAAATCGAAAAACGCGTATTTATTGGTGTTGTGTACGTTGCGTCTGTATAATAATAAATTATAAGAATTATCACATAGGGTTTTACCTACAACATCATATCAAGTTATATCATTCTAATAACCATCTTTTCGAATATATTGATATCGTTATATATATAATTACGTTGTTATTGAATATTGTATATTTTCGTTATCCCGATGGTCGCTGTCGACTATATACATATGATTTGGTTATGATTTATTATTTTATTTTGTGGTCGTTGCTCGCTATTTTATTACATTTCATGTTTGAAAGTAGTAAAGAATCTATTATTAAATATGAATATAATGGTATACCTAAATAATTTATTAAAAATTATTCCTAATAATACCAAATAGTTCATATATTATAATAAACCATAAAAATAAAAGTTTATTGCAAATATATTTACCACTAGTTTCGATATAAAAAACTATCACCGATTTATTTATAAACGCATCATTATATAATGTTACATATATAATGTTTACTTTTATTTTTAGTATACCAACTTATTTAGGATTAAATGTTTCGATAGGGTGTCCCAGAAGTATGGGTCTAGGAATAGGTAAGTAGGGGTGAACGGTTCAAATCTCGGCGATCATGAAATAAATAAATTTACTGTTTTATTTTATTTTCTGGACAATAATCATTGCGAAGTCTATGCGCAGAAAATGAGGAGTTCCGTTAATCTTTATGTACTAACATTATTAACCTCTCAATATGACATTATTGACTACTCATAGTAATGACATGTTGATATCGTATACAGTTACTTCGTTCAACTTGGCGTTAAGCGTCCATAACACATCTCTGAGAAGTCAACAGGCACTTATTTATAACTTTTCTACCGTCAGTGTGACAACTATGCGACTACTATGCTACAGAATTTTGCACACCGAGATATGTATTTACCTATATTTTAAAATGATTTCAGATTAAAATTGATACCAATGTAACTATTAAAACTTTTTCATTATTGTGAAAAAAAATGACTTACTTATGAGGGACTCAAAAACATATTCTGTAATTTAAAATTGTATATAGATATTTAAAACCAACGAACTAAATTCTTAAACCTTCATTAGCCCCTCCCTTGGTTAGTGATAAAACTCGCCCCTGTAACTGATTACAGATAAGAATAACAATTAACAAAAAACGTACCTAAACGTATAAGTTTTGATTTTTTATTTGATGTATTCCTATAGTTTTTCATGGAAAAACTATTCGGTCATACAAAATAATATTCGATAGTTTATGCTTACCATCGAATACTATTCTATAGTGTAAACTATTCGATAGTGCCTGCCGTCGCGACGTTGGAGGTGACTCGATGGAGGCACGGTGCCGAGCACTATTGTCAATTGCGACGCCGCGATGAGAGAGCACTGTGGTGGTGACCCACCACAATGCCTTATTCTATAATCACGGATTTAAATTATAAGCACAAAATAAATTCTGTGCCAAATAGTCTAAAAAAAAACTCGTTGACACCGCGCATGGTGATAACGACGTCGACAGCGGACGATCGTGAAGCGATTAATAACTGTGATAAGAATCGACCGGAAACGATTACTTCTGGTCAATTAATTATGGGATTGAGAAACGGACAGTGATTATTTGTGCATGCGCAAATTGATGTACTCTTAACTTGGATACAGTAAAGAATTCGTGTTTCTGTGATTTGAATCCGAAATTCAAAAATTGGAGTAGAAATCATGGTCACAGCAAACGGGTGCGACCTAAATCGCCAAAAGGATTCAGGTAAATATGATATAATATATGATATAATTGATATTCAATGCGTATCAAATTTTAAATGAGGTGTACTACCATAGACCCGTAAAGATATAATGTTATATGAAGCAGTGGCGAAGCACGATTAATTAAGTCGGGGAGACGTTAAAAAAATACGTTACAGCCCCTCCCCTTTTATAACTATATGTATGTACGATAAAAGGGACATGGTATTTTGTTTTTTTATTTCATGTTTTTTTTTCTTATGAGTAGTTTACTATTCCATCATTCAAAATGTCATTAATTAAATCGTCAGACATCGTAGCAAATGACAATAGTATAATATTTTAATATTTAGATACGAATATCATACCAGAAATAAAAAAAATCGTAAAATAAAATCCAACTAATAACTACGATAACAAAATAGCATCGAACGATAACGCAACAATGCAACAAACAATGACGATTACATTAATGTATATAAAAATGAAACAATCAATGCTAACGACGAAACACATCTCATAGCTCAACGATAATTCCCACTCAATAACATATTCCCCCTGAACACCGTGCCTTGAATAACGAGACACTACAATTATTAATAATATAAAGTTTAGTGCTGGTAAACTGTGATTTTTTTCTAGTAGCAGTAGCATATGCTACTGCTACTGAAAAAATAACATTGAAAATAGCAGTGACTGCTACTTATCGATAACTGTTATTTTAGAATCACTATATTAAATAACTGTTACTTGTCAGATATTGTTATTCCAAATAACTGCTACTTGTCAGGTTTTGTTATTCTAAATAACTGCTACTTGTTAGGTATTGACGGTATTGTTATTCCAAGTAACTGCTACAGAAAAATAGTGACTGCTACTATAGTGCTACTATATGACCCATAATTAAAATAATAAAACGATAATAAGTATTTTAGGATAGAATCGCTATGGAATGGCACATTAATACCATTTACTAAATGGTTGTGTGTATTAATAATAATAATAGAATTCTGAATGGGCTATTTATATATTTTATTTATGGCATATTTACTATTAACATATGTCTAAATTTAGACATTTACAACAATAAAAATACCAAATTATAAAAATTATAATACAAATTTATATACATATATATGTATACAAAATAATAAACATCTAATGTCTATAGAGTATAGAGTGAGAATATTTCTACTTAGTTACTAGTTAGTGTTGAATATTTAGACAGCACACGCTACCTATTACAAATTAGGAACTGTATGTTATTTTATTGCAAAAAAAATCAAAATGAGTCAAGATAGGAGAACTAGTGACATTTGGAAGCATTTTTCTGAAGTTGACTCTAGTATAGCTAAGTGTGATATTTGTAAAAAAAATTATTCATACCAAACTAGCTTGTCAAACTTAAAAAAGCATTTTAACAATGCTCATTTGATATATTTATAGACTGAAACAGGTACATTACAGGTAACCTATGCACTAAATAACATAAAATTTGCATGCAACTTATACATAAAAAGTAGTAGAAGTATTTTTTATTAAATTTGTTTACTTTACTTCTTATACTGAATGAAAACACAAATATACAATACATTTTATTTACATTCAGTATTATTTATAATATTATAAAATTAGTTTTTAAAATATTTTATTAATTTACATAGAATGAGCCTGCAGCTGATATTGACAATCCTGTACTTACATCTTCTGGTGTTCAAGTAGGAAAGGATCTAAGTACAGTGAGTGAACCAAGCTGTAGTAGTAGTGGTAATATTGTTAATCAGGCAACTGCTGTACATGAGGTAACATCAATTTCAAAATCAAAACCATTAAAACGTAGTAGACAGTTGGCAATTACTAATTAAACTCCCAAAAAATTTCTGTCGATGGCCAAAAAAAATTAGATACTGCACTCATTAAACTTTTTATTAAAGATCTACAGCCTTTTAGAGTAGTTGAAGACACAGGGTTTAAAGAGTTTGTGAATATGTTAAACTCAAGCTACAAGATTCCCAACCGCCATACCATTTTTAAAACTCTTATTCCAGCAGCGTATGAAAAATGTGTAAATGAAGTTCAATCAATGATACTAAAAGAATTAGACAAGGTTTGTCTAACAACCGATTGTTTGACATCTAGGGATAACAAAAGTTACATTGCCATAACTATTCATTTTATTAATAAAATTTTTAATTTAAAGTCCATATTATTGAGTTGCCATTCCTTTAATGAGAACCATACAAGTGAAAATCTTTCTGACCAAATTAGTAAAACTTTAAATTCATGGAACTTGAAAGAAAAAATTGTATTTGCTGTATCTGATAACGCCTACAACATACAAAATGCATTAGGACAGTTACAATTTAAACATTTAGGTTGTTTTGCTCATACCCTAAACCTTATTGTTCAATCTGCACTTAAAAAAGAAAATGATCTCATCGATAAAGTTAAAAATATTTGTACTCATTTTCGCAAAAGTACAAATGCAAATAATAAATTAATTGCTTATCAAAAAAGTATGAGGGTCAATGTTCCACTTTAAGTCTTACAAGATGTAGCTACAAGGTGGAATTTCACATTCTACATGCTAGAACGCTTTGTACAACTGGAGACTTCTATACAGGGAACAATGGGACTTTTAGACAATGCACCACCTTGTTTGAATTCCGATGAATGGATAGCTATCAAAGAGTTTTGTAGTATCTTAAAAATGTTTGAAGAAGCTATTGGAGCTGTGAGTAGAAAGCAGTACATAACTGCTTCATTAGTTATAGTTATTGCTCAAGGATTGAAAAATGTCTGTGAACAAATGAAAAAATAAAAATTATTCTACCAGGACTTTAGGGTTAGTCAATAATATATTAAATGATATGAAAGACCGTCATAATTGGGGAAATATAGAAAATAGCAAGACCTTAAAAAGATGTACGTTTCTTGATCCACGGTTTAAAAACTTACCATTCACTCACAACGAAAACATGCTCAACTCATTAAAGAATGATATAGTGGAACTAACAGCTCAGGTAATTTCGACATCCAGATCTGAATCTACATCAATTGAACATGAACCACAGATCTCTAATCAACCATCCGATACATTGACGCCTGAAGTGAAGAAATTTTCAATTTGGGAGTCAGTCGATAAATGTGTTTCCCAAATGCAGCTTTCGATTGGAACATCAACTTCACGGGCTATAGTAGAGGTGCAACGTTATTTAGAAGAACCGGTATTAAAGAGAAACTCTAAGCCACTAGAATGGTGGCAAGAACATAAGTACAATTACCCATTTTTAAATGTTTTGGCAAGGAGGATGTTATGTTGTCTAGGATCATCTGTGCCATGCGAGCGTGTGTTTTCTAAGGCAGGTCTTTTAATATCTGATCGTCGTAGTTGCTTGAACACAAAAAAAAGCAGAAATTTTGTTTTTAAATCAAAATGCATAAGTTATTTATCTAATATTGTTTTACCATTATTTTATTACTTTTATTATTATTATTTTATTACTTTTATCATTATTATTTTATATACTATTACTATGTTAAACGAAGCGGAGTTTTTATAATATTTATTGTTTATTAAATAATAAATATATTATTACCACAGAATAGATTTAATATATTAAGTTATATAACTAGGTATTTGTTGAAATGTTGGTAACTAATTCTGATAAGAGTGAAATTTCATTGTTATGTTATCATAAACGTTATCCCTCGACTATAAAGTAACTACTCTATGCCGTCGACGTCTTGTCCAATTTATTCATGATGGTATGTTACTATATTACATTATTTAATTATTATCTAATGTCTATCGTCTATGCATAAGTAGCAGTTAATTAAAATAATAATATTATAGAAAATTCAAAATACGAAATAGTAGCAGTTACAATAAGTAGCAATAACAGAAAATAGATTTCCAATATTACCAACTACTAAAAAGTAAAAACGTGGCAGTCACTGTTATTTTCATCCGGGAGTAGCAGGTTGTGATTGCTACTTTAAAATCACTGGTGAAAAATCACTGCTACTGCTATTTTATCTCATCACTAATAAATTTTTATATCTGTATTTGGATGTTTATAGAATTACCCACTACGTCACAACGGACGACAGCTCGCGTGCACGGTCCGCAACTAATCTATTTTAAGAATATTAATACGGTATGATATAAAAGTAAAACTACAATAAATATTGAATTATATATTAGGTATATAAAAATAAATAAAATATATTATAACCAAAAAAAAAATGTATCCGTATTAAAAGTGGGTAGACGTTGTCTCATTGTCTTCTGTGACGCTTCGCCACTGATTATAAGTATTGTGAGCGCGATCGATTAGGCGTGTTTTTTGTACTGTTATTTTAGCTTTCTACTTGTTGCAGGGAAATACGACTGTTTGCGCTCAGTAGTGAAAATCTACTGTGGCCCGAACGAGGGCACAGCCATTTGTGTCCACTTTTCTGACTCCTTTGGGCACTTATTCCTCAGTTGCGCTCATGTTGTACAACATGTCTGTAACAAGTAATTTATCAAAGTTTTTGGTTTTTTTTGTTATAATGATGCGAAAATATTGTTCTTTTTTTGGCAGAAAATACAAAAGGTTATATTGCGTCATGATGGACATGTGATCAGAGGTTCAGTTATATACGCTACACCAAAAGATGTTCCACACGATATTGCAGTCATTATAAGCAAACAGACTCCCGAAATTACCCCATGTCAGATATCAGATATTACACATGCACCCGGTTAGTAGAAAAATATTGGTAAATTTATATTCAGTTGCATATAGTTATCCTTCAGTATTTTATAGGCCATAAAGTATTTGCTGTCGGGTATGCTTGTAAAGAAAATGTAACCTCTACAATTTTTGGACGTGTGCTCAGCATATCGTTGGGTTTGTTGACAACTACTTGTAATGTGTGCAAAGGATTTAGTGGAGGTCCAGTTTTTACAAATGAAGGAAAACTTTTAGGTCTTACTATTGGGAAGCTTAGTGTAGGCACGGTGAATTTTGTATTACCTTCAGCAGAATTTGTAGAAACAATCAAAACATATATTCATACCAATGGTTAGTAACCAACTGTGGTACAATTAGAGGAGATCTTGGCAATCTCTTGTGATTCAACCCTCTCCAGATTTTTGAAATTATTTAAAATAAATTTGTTTAAGCATCATTAGAAATTATTTAATAGTATATTTATAGTTTTTCTATAAACATTATAAATGTTAAGGTGTCAACCCGGTCTGTGTATTACCATTGATTATATATACTTGGATATATTTATTAACTACACTGAAGTTAGTGATTTGTTATAATTTATTCTATCTTGGTATCTTGGTTTTCTGTCTTGAAAATTTTAATTATTGTAAAATATATAACTAATTTTAATAAAAAATAATTGACCAATTTGCCAAGATTAAAAGCAAAATAATTTTAATATTGTGTTCAATTTGTTAAACATTAGTACTAATTAATAAAATACTTTTTTATTATGTTACATAGCGAATAGGCAATGTTTGTGTTCAGTATTGTCTTAGTGAGCTTTTTGAATAACAAATTATTTAACCTTCGTGCTCAAAATATATTCTAGTAGTATAATTCTTGAACTCTTTAATGTCAACATTTTGATCTAATTGTGCTACATTTAACCAATATAAATTGTATTTTATTAATTTTCTAATACTAAACTTAATTTACAGTATATTTTTTTCCAGATCTGACAGTACTTAATAATTTAGAATCCAAATGCTCATTGAGGAAATTTCTTTGGAACAATGGGAATCCTAATTTTAACATTATATGTCATGTTTAACGGAAATAATAAAAAATATTGATACGATCATTTTTTACTATATTTATATTTTTATGAAGATTTATATACAAATTGTATAAAATATTGAATTTTTAGTCAAACATGTCAAGAAAATATAAATTATAAATTTTATAATTATTTACAGGTGAACAGATGCTTTTTATAATTATAACACTTAAAAATGTCAATTAGTTATTGATCAGTATGAAATTTTTATTTTTATCACAAATTAAATGTTAATTTTTTTAACTATATAGAATTATTTTGTTGAAATGTTTTCGAATACATGAGTTAATTAATTTTAAAATTGTATTTCATTTGTTGTACAATATTATACAATATGTCCCATAAGTCCCATATCACTCTTAATATCTCCACGGGAAATCAATATATTTAAACGAGGTTTTTTTTTACAATCCTTAGTAGGTATGAAAATTCTGATTGAATGGCATGAAATTCAGTTTTTAAGATAGCCATTTTCTTGAGCATATTTTTTAAAACATTTAAAAAAAAATATATTAAAATTGAATAAAAATTTTCTAAGTTAGAACAAGTTATGTTTTTGAATAATTATAATAAAAGTTGTTACCTAGCAAAACACGAATTGCTCGATTTAATCAATCTCGATTGGAACGCTAATTTTTTATGGCAATCTGTAAATATCTAACTATTAGTAGAGCTTTTAGGAAATATTAAAATTAAAATTCATATAATATTTTTAAACTTGATTGTTAACAAAAAAAAAAAAGATTTTATTACATAAAAACGAAAATAATGCATTACATTTTTTTTTTTAATGTTTGGAGTGACCTCCATTATTTGTAACAGAGCTGAAGTTTTTAGACCCAAGTGTTTTTAACATTTTCTAATGTCTTAGGTAAAATATTTTGAATATTTTGTTTAATTTTGTCACGGAGATCAAGCAATGAACACGACGGATACCCAAGATTTTTCAAATAACCCCATAAAAAAAATCCATTGGTGTTGTTATTATTTTTATACTTAATACTATTAATTAACTGTGACACTTGTAATTATTAATTTATATATTTATTATAAAACAAACTTACACATTACACTTTTATAATACATTGTTATTTTGACTATTCTCTTGTATGAAATATCATGACTATCTTATGTTAATAATATATGATAAGATGTACACCAAGGTGGATATATATCCACCTTGATGTACACAACAGCTTATCACGTATTATCACAGGTGTTAAGTCGGGTGACCTAGGTGTTCATAGCACTGGATTATTGAAATGTGAAACAATTGATTTTTTTGTTATAATTATTCAAAAACATAACTTGGTCAATTTTTATTCAATTTTAATATTCTTTTTTTTAACTGTTTTAAGTATATGCTCAAGAAAATGGCTATCTAAAAAATTGAAAATTCTTAAATACATTAATTTTTTTTTTTAATTTTTGAATTTTTTAAAAAAATAAAATTGAATTTTTATGCCATTCAATCAGAATTTCCATACTAAGTATTGTAAAAAAAACCGCGTTTAAATATATTGATTTTCCGTGGAGATATAGAGGGTGACAAGGGACTTATGTGACATACTGTATAGGAAAATATATAGATTTCATGTCTTCAAAATTTTAATTTATAATAATTATTTTGTCATTGTAGTAATACAAATAGTTTTTGCATTTTCGTAAACATGTGTATATAACTGTTTTGACATCAATAATCAAGTATAAAAAAATTGTATGATTAATAATAATATTTTAAGTAGGACACAGCTTTAATTGATTCGGTTGTAAGGAGTATGATTATAAAGAACTTTCTTTAAATTTCTTGAGGAGAAAAATAATAATTTTACTTATTTTCATGAACTATGAAAGGTCAAATGCACTGCATATGTTTTATATGTGCATCTGAAAAAATACTTATATTAACGTCCGTATCACCAGTCTTATTCAAGTTTTTTTTTTTTGCAAATGTTTAATAGGTTTCAGAATGTCTTCAACATTATTAATCATAATTATTTATTAATTAATAATTTTTAACATATTCAATATTTTAAATTACCTAATTGGTTATTTTTTAAAATATAATTAATAACCAAGTGATTTATAAGAAATTAAAATTATTATAAGATACTCACAATGCATATCAATAATAATAGAAAAATAATTATTAATCCAAAGTTATAAACATTTTCATTAAAACACTATATTTTTTTTTACTTGCTGCGGTGTTAAAGTTTGTCAATGTTTTATATTTAATTTAATTTTTTGATTCTAACCTATGAATCTTTCTAATAGTTAAAAAAAAATGTACATTTTATTTGTATGCATTTTAACATTATGTATAATATTTTTTGATAACTATTTAAAGAAATTAGTATTATATCTATATGATTTAAAAAAGTTATTAATTAACTATTATTTATTTATTTCATGTTTTTCATGATTTTGATAACCTTATTTATGTCCTTGTGTTGGTAAACTATTGGGAGAAGCTGGGAATTTCATATTTATCCATTATGCGTGAAATAAAGTCATATCATTTTCATGCGTCTAGGATCGGGATAAAATCGTTTAAAAGTTATACATGGCTTTACGAATTTCGCACGAACGCTGATTCCTACGTTGCCGTCGATTCACCATCCGGTTTAAATACGTTTATCCTGTGATAAGTCCGTTGAATAGGGTTGACAGTAGTTATGCTAAGTGTTTCATTATAATTAATTCTTTTTTTTACTGTATAAGTATAATTATTCATATTTTTCAATTCTATCGACACCTAAATTAATGTTTAATTTGAAGAAAAATAGAAACGCTTTTAGGATAGATTTCTGTACATCATATTTTACGTAGAAGTCAAAGTTTAGAGAATTATTCTATATTCATTAAAGAGTTTTGTAATATTTATTATAAATTTGGTAGATTTATTATAGGTTCTTACCATAATGGTATAAATGGTATATTATTTAAGTGAACTATGTAATCAGTGCCGCAAAAACTGGGTGTGCAGAGTGTGCTGCGCACACGGGCCCCAAGGCTTAAATACATTTGGGAGGCCCCCTAGTCCAAGTCTAAAATAAAATACACTTTACAAATACACAATTATTTAATAGTATTATATTATTATTTTATAATAAAAAGAAACTTTTTTTTTTAAAATTCAGGTATGGATGTTATAATATTTTAGATTAATATAATATTTATTTAACAATGAGTCTATTGAATATTTGAGTAGGCATACAACATACCTACTTAAACTACCTAAATAAATTTACTACATAAATATGTAGTGAAGTATAATATACAACAGTTGTAGGTATTTAATTTGATATACAGATATCATACACTAACTAATGTAAAACGTGTTTTAAAGCCTAAAAAAATTAATGCTTATAAATAAGACGTACAACAAAAATAAATCCTAGGAAGGAGCCTAATATAATTACCGTACACGGGTCTCCTATTTTGTGGTTGCGGCACTGTGTGTAATTGAATATACAAGATCTGTTACCTATCATATAACATCATGCAATTTAAGTTGTTCGACCAACACGCATAAATAATAATTATTCAACTGTACATGATACGTTTGTACTGGTTAAAGAGGACGTGATACACCGGTAATTTAAGTTTAAAAATACGTTTTACGCGAGACAAAACCATAGTGTGTAAATTCATGATACCTAGAAGCTCTTTTTTTTCTTATGTTTTAAAGAAAAGCATATTATCTGTAGTATGGTATTTATTTTTTTTTTCACTAACAGAAATGGATTCATAATTATTAATTTGTTAAGATATGTAAAATTTTAAGTTTTTAGTAAAACTATAAAAAATTATTGAAAGTTATCAACATCATAGTTATGATAGTTCTTTAAAAAAATCTTTAATTATGAATTTATACTGAACGACTTTGTTTCTTGTAGTTTATTTTTCTGCCAATAAATTGTAAATAACTTTTTTTATTTATAGATTCACGATTGCGATCGTGCGTTATGTACTCGAATGTATGCGCCCATACTGTAGCTCTTAATCGTCGTCAATCTATGGAGCATTAATCTCGAGAAATATTTAATTATCATGTCTTCTACTCATCATTAGTTGTCAGGTATTACATAATATAATATATCAAACAAAATATTGAAAATATATTTAAAAATTTGTGAATGGTGAAATGTTTACCTTCTATAGACTTTATAAAAAAATTTTCTATTGTTGGTGTTTAATTATACATATTATTATGTATGTATAAATAAATGTACCATTATATGTTTGTACAGTAAATATACATATAATGTTTAATAATATGTACTATCATTAATTTCATTGAATAATAAATAATATATATTTTTTTCTAAGTGGGATTTATTCAATGTTGAAAGATTTATAGGTACTAAGGATTAGAAAAAAACTATGTATTAAATGGGATCGCATATAAAGCGGGAGCGTTTAAACGAGATTCAACTGTATTTTAGTAAATATTATAAGTATAATCAATGAAAAGATATGAATATATATACAACCTACATTTGATGTTTAAAACAGGAAAAATTAATTTAATAAATTAATTTATAAATTTTGTACAAAAATTTAGTGAATGTATAACTATAGATGGAAATCTATTGAAAAAGGGTGGGCAACGATTTTTTTTTTCAAGAATAGGCATATATGAAATTCTTAATTTTGTATAGGTACTTTGCAATAACTTTTAGGAAGGCTTGGTAGGACTTTAGGGAGGGAAAATCCCCTTTAAGCCCCCCAATTTCCACCAATGTGTAAAAATAATAAATTATTAAAATAATAATGAATGTAAATTGTATTAAAAGTTTTATTTAGGAACATATAAATAAAAATATAAGCTTTATATCCTATGCCAACGACCATACCAAGTTGAATACTTCAGTTCTCATTTGATTATGTCGGACGTTGTTAGTACACGGAGAGGACCACTTGCGAATACTTCGTAGGTACCGTTGGCAATTTTTTTTTATTAGAAATCATTCTCGTTCAGAATGTATATTCCTTAATCCAAAGGCAATAATATTTAAAGGAAGAAAATACTAAAAAAAGAAAACTAATACATTTTCAATCAAAATGATTAACACTATTTTAAATACCATATATATATATATATATTATTACGGAATATTCTGGTACAGATTATTTATAGTCATAGATGAGATAGTGATCATCGGATTTTTTGAGTGTTAACAATGGAGTGTTAGAACAGTGGCGTAATTAGGAATTTGGTTGGTGGGGGATTATAAATTTAGTAAAATCTGTACACCTCATACAGTAACCCCCCCCAGGTCAATTTTTTTTTATTATAGTTAATTAAAAAATACAAGTTAATATAAAATTATATATTTTATAACTGTATTAAACAATATAAAATTTAAGTATTTATTATATTTAGGTAGCTTGAATAATTTTACAAAACTAGATCCAAGTTTCTAGGTCTTTTAGCAATATCATCTAATACATCTTTAGGATTAAATTTAATGTCTCTATGGACCGCCAACATACTTAATCCATTTAACATATCCTAAAAATGATTTAAATAATTAAATTGTCAGTATTATTAATTTGAAATATAAATAAAATTTTAAGAGCTACTTACTTCAGTCATAGTATTCCGTAGGTATGTTTTAACTCTTTTTAGAGCTGTAAACATACATTTAGGCAGTGGTGTAACTGGGAAAAAACCTAGAGGGGGGGGCAATATAATATATTTATTATTACCAAAACCCTGACATCCCTCCCCCTCACCAGTTAAAACATATTTTTATTGTATGTATTTTATACACTTTATCTAATTGTTTAATTTTACATAAGTCTTTTAACTCATTTTATAGTTTAGATAAATATAAATTGTAGGTAGCATGTACTAGGTTCCAATATTGTTAAATAATATCCATAAGAGTTCATTAATAAAAGGTGCTATTTGTACTGTTGGATTATCTGAGGGGAGGGGGGGCAAAATTATACCTTTATCTCTCAAAAAATTGTCAGAGGGGGCACTTGCCCCTTGCCCCTCACAATTACGCCACTGCATTTAGGAGTAGTGGTAGATACGGGGAATGTACACAATATTTTTAATAATAAATAAATGTTAGGGTATATCTCTTTGTTACATTCTATAAGTGCATCAGTCCCAGTTTTAGGTACCTATACAGCTAGTTCTCCTGAGTTTTATTCGCCAAAGTCTTAACTCTGTTAATGAATTATTTTTGTCAACCTGAGGAAAATAAAATTCAACTAACTGCGTAAAATGTAATTTGTCATCTTCAATGAAATGCTCATTACTTGAAAACAAACATCCAAAACCTGATAAAAAAATCAGGTATAGTATGTATGGTAGATCATTTCTGAATGTTCACGAAAGGCCTAAATGTAATACATATTTTATTTTTACGACAAGTATAAATGAAATAAAATAATAACTAGTTTTGCCTTTTTCCATACATCAAAAGGTGTTTTCACAAAATTTCCTAAAGGTTGCCTATTTTTTTCCGCCAACTTTTACAAAAACCGTGCAATACTTGCAAAATACTCCACCTTTCGCTTCTGAGTAAGCTAACCAATTAAATTCCAAAAGCCATTTAAATCGAAATCACAGCTTAGCAGCTCACCATTTACTGTTTACTATTTACTACCTAGTACTTACTGGCTACTAGTGACAACTGACAATAAACGATTAAATACGAACTCGTATACGGTTGTAATGGTTGTATTATATAATAAAATTATAATTATAATCAAAGAAAATACTTCCCATTAGAAAAAAAGTATGGTTCACTGTTCAGGGTTTTATTTTGCATCGGCACGAATGTCTATAGTATAGACATTGTATTACGACTGATGGGGCTCCAGCTATGATAAGTAAAAATAATGGTTTTATTGCTTTGTGTAAGAATGATAATAATTTTCCAAATTTTATAACGTTCCATTGTGTGATACATCAACAAGCATTGTGTGGAAAAATATTGAATACAAGTAGTATAATGGACATTGCTTTTAAAATAGCCAATTCTATACGTTCACGAAGTTTGCAAAGGCGACTTTTTAAATTACAATTAGAAGAAAACGATTCTCAGCATTGTGATTTATAACTGCATACGGATGTTAGATGGTTGAGCCGTGGTAAATTTCTAGAAAAGTTTCAATGTTTACGTCCTGAAATAATAGAGTTTTTAAAATCCAGAGGCGATAATTATGATTGGTTAACAAACAATACATGGCTTCAGAACTTTAAATGTTGAACTTCAAGGAAAAGATGGGACAATAATTGAGTTATTGAGTTCTATAAATGGGTTTAAATCAAAATTGATATTACTCAAGTCACAATTAAATGAATCTAATTTGAATAATTTTCCAAACTTAAAAGATTTTTTTGAAAAGCAAAAATGTACAGTGGCAGTGGAAATATATTGCTCTGAGGTTGAAAAAGTGTACAATGAATTTGAAAGACGATTTAAAGATATTCAAAAATTAGAGCCGATTATTACATTTGTGTCTTTTCCTTTCTCCGAAACAAACAGTATTGAAAATATTTCTACACAAATAAGCAATTTGTTTGATATGGATTCTACAAAATTTGAATCTGAAATTATAAAAATTAAATCAGATATATTCCTCAAAGCTCGAGGTTATGGAACAAATTTTTGGAATTTACTGAGCGAAGAAAAATATCCGGGTTTGAAGAATGTAGCTTTGCAGTTACATACTTATTTTGGATCTACATATTTGTGCGAAACAGCATTTTCTCACATGAAAATGATAAAAACAGAATTTCGATCTACGCTCTCTGATGACCATTTGAAGCAGTGTCTTCGATTAGCAGTTAGCAACTATTCGCCAGATTACGACCAATTAGTCAATGACATGCAATGTCACACTTCAACAATGGCCAGATCAACAAAATAATATGTTAATTAAACTTATCTAATTAAATTTTAGAAATTATTATTTATTATTATATTATTTTTTAGTAATTAGTAATTAATTAATAATACTTATTGTATGTTTATATGCACTTATTCAATAATAAAAATTTTTTCTATAAAAGTTGATCCTCAAAGGTGAAGTATATTTTTAGTAGATCGTGACCAAAAAAAGTTTGACCGCCCCTGGTCTATACTTAACGTTAGTATACTTGTCTATGCGCGTGTGCTCTCGATAACAATCCGCATTTTTTATTTTAAGAATTGGAAATACAAGTATATAAACCGTCGGACTGTCGGAATTAACGTAAGCCGCATTGAAGTATCATATAATAATAATAATAATAATAATAATAATAATAATAATAATAATAATAAT